TGTTTGGCGGGCCCGGGCTGGGGATTCGAACCCGCCACCTTAGGTGTATGTGGCTGGCGCCTTAGCCGCTTGAGCCACAGGCGCCGAGCCTGTTTGTCTGTTTTTCAAGACAGAATCTCATTCTGTCACCCAGGCTAGTGTGCCCTAGAATCAATGCCAGCTCACAACAACCTCAGAATCTTGGGCTCAAGTGATCCTCCTGCCTCTGCCTTTGGAGTAGCTCGGACTACAGGCGCCTGCCACAACACCCAGGTGATTTTAGAGATGGGGGGTCTCGTTTTTCTCAGGCTGATCACAAACTCCTTAACTCAACCAATCCACCCACCTTGGCCTCCCAGAGTGTTGGAACAACCCGAGTGTGCCACTGTGCCTGGCCCGTAATTACTGTTTGAATAATGTTTTCTGGAATAACAAATCAACTTGGTTAAATTTACTGAGGAGTCCAGGCTAGCGCCTGTGGCTCAGTGGGTAGGGCGCCGGCCCCTTATACTCAGGGTGGTGGGTTCGAACCCGGCCCCGGCCAAACTGCAACAAAAATTAGCCAGGCATTGTGTTAGGCTCCTATAGTCCCAGATGCTCAGGAGACTGAGGCAAGAGAATTGCCTAAGCTCAGGAGTTGGAGGTTGCTGTTGAGCTGTGACATTATGGCACTCTACCAAGGGCGATAAAGTGAGACTCTATCTCTAAAAAATAAATAAATAAATTTACTGAGGATCCCAATCACGCTTTTTTTTGGGGGGGGGGAGTTACAACTATCACTATTTAGCATACTAGAAATTAAAAAGATTATCAATTCATTTGAAGATAGTAGTGAGGAATGTTATTAACATCTGGGTAGAATCATGAAATTAGTTCTGCCCTGTGGATCTCCTGAGAAGGGGGCTTTAGTGCCACTTTTTCCAGACAATAGGACACATCAGAGATGGAATCTGTCTGGGCCAGGTGCAGTGGCTCTCACCTGTGATCTTAGTACCAAGAGGTGGGACCCCACCATGAGATCACTCCTCCTCAGGGCCCCGATGACGAGCCTGATAAATAAAAGCCTCCTGAAATAATAAATAATTGCCCCTGTTTGTTGTCCTGAGGCTAGGAAATCAAGTCAAGAACACACCAGGGCCCTGATGCCACTCTGCCCATTGTGAGCACACAGTCCAGGCCTTCTTATTGTGCACTGAGCAGTGGGGGACTGTGCCTCCGCCTGGGGCTTTCTTCCTGGGCAGATGGCAGCTGGGCCCAGGTTGCCTCTGCAAAGCTGATGCTCACCAAGTCCCCATAGCAAAACTGCACTGGACAGGCTTACAGGGGGTGAGAAAGGTCACTTCCTGTAAGGCCTAGGAACCTCAGATATTTTGGAAAACTTGGGAAGAAACAAATTTGCTCAAATTTATGGAGCAGGTGAAATCCAATGAGTTCTTGACTTGATTTCCTAGCCTCAGGACAACAAACAGGGGCAATTATTTATTATTTTAGGAGGCTTTTATTTATTTTAATTTAATTAATTAATTTATTTTTGAGACAGAGTCTTACTCTGTTGCCCTGGGTAGAGTGTTGTGGCATTATAGCTCACAGCAACCTCAAATTCTGGGGCTTGAACAATCCTCCTACCTCAGCCTCTCAAGTAGCTGGGACTACAGGGGTATGCCACTACTCCAGGCTAGTTTTTCTATTTTTAGTAGAGACAGGGTCTCACTTGTGTTCAGGCTGGTCTCAAACTCCTGAGCTCAAGCAATCCACCCACCTTGGCTTCCCAAAGTGCTGGGATTACAGGTGTAAGCCACTGTGCTGGCCTTAAGAAGCTTTTAAAAGACGAATCTGAGGCTTGGCGCCTGTGGCTCAAGCGGCTAAGGCGCCAGCCACATACACCTAAGGTGGCAGGTTCGAATCCTCAGCCCGGGCCTGCCAAACAACTGTGATGGCTGCAACCAAAAAATGGCCAGGTGCTGTGGTGGGCGCCTGTAGTCCCAGCTACTTGGGAGGCTGAGGCAGGAGACTCGCTTGAGCCCAGGAGTTGGAGGTTGCTGTGAGCGTGATGCTATGGCACTCTACCCAGGGGAATAGCTTGAGGCTCCGTCTCAAAAAAAAAAAAAACAAAACAAAAGACGAATCTGAAATTCCTTATGAAAACTTCTAGCAAAACAAACTTAAAAAGACTGATTTATGGAGACATACACATGGGGGAATGACAAATTCATTGGAATGATGAAGGGCCTGAGAGGGAGGCCTTGATGCAGTCAGAAGGGAGGTCATGGTCAAAGAGCAGTGAGGATCAGGTGCTGATGGAGTTGAGAAGATGTCAGAATAGGGTGGGATTAAGAGAAGAAATAGAGCCATGGTGCTCAAGTCACTGTGGTTACCAATTGTGACACGACAGCCCACCTTGGTGCTGGGAGTGTACGCACGTCCTTTTCACAGAGCCTTAGACTCAAGAGCCACTTGCCTTTCTCAGCAGAGACCTGGGGTGTTGCGTCCAGGAGACCCTGCTGTTTTCCTCTGCAGAAGCCCCAAGGCAGAAGTTCGCCCCGGACACAGCAGTCTCTGCTGCTCTCCACAAAGCTGCATAGAAGCACCAGTTGCTTTGTGACCTACAGTGTTTTTCTTGAAAATACTGTCAGGCAGTGGGCTCACAGCATGCCCATCACTGAAGTGGGGTCCTACTTGGTGACAGTGACTTCTGACCAGACTTCGCTGTACCAGGAACAGCTTCTGTTCTCCCTTTGGCCTTCTTGAGTCTGGAGCTGGAGACCTCTTGCCAACTCCAGGCTCCCAGATGTGCCAGTGGACATATCATGGCCTCCTCCTCTCAACTGCAGGATGCACACACCCCAGGTCAACACACCTGCTCTCAAGGACTCACCTTTAGGACGGGCCAGCTCTGCGCGGAGTCTGTTCCCCATCTCGATGAGCTGTTCCTTCTCCAGGTGGAGGCTGAGGATTTTTCTGGCTGCTTCCTGCAGTTTCCTCTGGAGCTGGTGCACAGATGAGGTCTGCAGGGGCATGAAGAGCTCCTCTGGGCCCTCAGGCAGTGTGGGTGCACCATCCCCAGTGCCCTGTGAACACACCCACACACAGACAGCCCCATGAGACCCTGTACCAGCAAGCTGTCTTGGGGGAAAGCTCAGAGAGCCCCACCACCGTCTGTATCACAGGAGAAAGACAAGAGGGATCACCATCCCCTGTGCTTTTGGGTTTCTTCCTTTCCACGAATGGGATAAATAAATCCCATTTATTATGAATCTCCCAGGCCAAGGCCTGACCTCAGTGGGCCTCTGCTGCAGCCTCCCTGCCTCTTGCTCTAGTGAGCCCAGACGCCTGTGTGCTCTTTAGGGCCCCTGAGCCCTGTCTTTCCAAGGAAGGTGGTGAGGAGCCCAGGGATGAGAGGAACACAGCAGCCTCTAGGGCCTAGGCTGGGCCCTTTCCCAGGAGCAGAGAGAAGAGCTGCCCCTGCCCTTCTGTGGTGCCCACAGTTCCCTGCTTTCTCTTTCCCTCCTTCTTGCCTTCTGTACCTGTTGTCTGGATGCCCCTCAGCCACCCTGAGTGGGCCGTGGCTTCCCACCATCCTCCTGCCTCAGTCTCCTGAGTAGCTGGGACTGCAGGGGTGTGCCACTACTCCTGGCTAGTTTGCCAGTGTAGGGAAAACACAGGGCAGCTGAGAGGGAAGAGGCTGGTATGGAGGGAGCAGTGGAGTCCCCCAGGCCAAGTTCAGATCTAAGCCCTTGTTGGCATCGTGCCACCCTCGCTCAGCCTGGCCTCATGGCCCACACGACACAACCACTGCATACAAGTGCAGTCCCCACGTGAAGGGACATTTGAGTCAGAAACAAGGCTGCAGGAAGTCAGGCATAGGCATGCTCCAGGCCTGGCAGTACAGCCAGATGACCAACTCCTGTCTCCACCTCACTGCTGCTGACCTATGAGAGGCCATGCCACACCACCCTGGCCACAGGGGCTCCTGAGTCCCAGGAACAGGCCAGCACACCCTGTCCAGGCCAGCTTCCTGGTGCTCCTTCCAGGGCTGGCAGGCACCTGTGCCCTCCGGGTGCTGCTGTTCTTTGTGGGCCTGAGGCCTGTGCAGCTGGTGTATGGTGTATGGTCCCTCTGGGCACATGCCACAGGCCAGTGGGAGCAAGGGGGGGGTGGTTCACAGGATGACTCAGCACAGAGGAGACAAGTCTCCTCTCCTGGACACAGAAAGGCCTGGGCACCCCACACACTCTTCCCAGTAAGTGGTTTCTGTCCTCCCATGCAGGACAAAGGCCAAGAATTGGGCTATAAGCTCGGGGAAAGTTCAGGCCTGGCACACTGCCCAGGGCCCACCTGGGCTTGGTGAGGCTGATGCAGACAGGAGAATGAGGCCCAGGGCAGGAACCTGTGTCCTCTACAGGAACACACTGGGTTATGTTATTTCAAGTGAGAAGAGAACAATCTTGAAAACAGACTCTGCAGACCTCAGAACACTTGGAGATTTAAAAGAAAATTTACTCTTCAAATGTAGATGCCTGACTCAGAGCCCATAGCACAGTGGTTATGGCACTGGCCACATACACTGAGGCTTGCTGGCGGGTTCAAATCCAGCCCAGGCCAGCTAAACAACAATGACAACTGCAACAAAAAAATACATGGGTGTTGTGGCAGGTACCTGTAGTCCCAGCTACTTGGGAAGTTGATGCAAGAGAATCACTTAAGCACAAGAGTTGGAGGTTGCTGTGAGCTGTGATGCCACAGCACTCTACCGAGGGCAATACAGTGAGACTCTGTCTCAAAAAAACAAAAGTAGACATCTAAGTTGCTGGTTCTGTGCAGGGTGCCCGGCCTGAGGGCTCTGGGGATCTTTGTGCCATTTGTCCTGAGAGCACCAGGACTCTAACATGGTGACCCAGGAGATGTACAGTAGTACCTGACCTCTCTTGGGTTCAGTTTCTCATAACTTTGCCCTTTTATTTGGCAAAGGCTTATTTTGATGACTTGCTAAAGTCCTTCTTCCAAATAAGGATTCTACAACATGAGATATACTTGGGAGTAGGAGCCGGTGGCACCTGGGCAAAAGCAGCAGCCCAGCCATGTTGGGTCACCTGCCACCTCTGGGACTGCCCACAGTCAAGCTCTGATCCAGCTGATCTTGAGGGTGAGGTCTCAGGTGTCTGGACACTTAATAAGGGAATTAGAAGTTTGGTTTGCTGAGTGTCTTACCATCTTCATCGAATCTGTGAGCAACTGACCCCCAGGAGTCCTTTAGCAAGCTGAGAGGCCCGAGCCCCACACAGAGGGCTGTGGCAGGCCTGGCCAGCACTCATGGCCAACACTGCCCCCTAGTGGGCCCCAGATGTGTCCACATCCCCCACTTGCAGGGCAGGAAGGCCTAGGGCAGAGGTTCTCAACCTATGGGTTCCCGACCCCTTTAGGGGTCTCCTGCATATCAGATATTTATATTACGATTCATAACAGTAGCAAAATTACAGTTATGAAGTAGCAACGAAAGTAATTTTATGGTTTGGGGTCATCACAACATGAGGAACTGTATTTTTTTTTTTTTGGTAGAGACAGAGTCACACTATATCGCTCTCGGTAGAGTGCCGTGGCATCACACAGCTCACAGCAACCTCCAACTCCTGGGCTATTCTCTTGCCTCAGCCTCCTGAGAAGCTGGAACTACAGGCGCCTGCCACAACGTCCAGGTATTTTTTGGTTGCAGTTTGACTGGGGCCAGGTATGAACCTCCCACCCTCGGCATATGGGGCCAGCGCCCTCCTCACTGAGCCAAAGGCACCGCCCATGAGGAACTGCATTAAAGGCTCGTGGCATTAGGAAGGTTGAGAACCCTGGCCTAGGCGGAGACTGAGTTTGGGTTTCCAGCAGGCAGCGGGCAGAGCAGAGGGCCCCACTGCCCCCAGCTGTCTCTCTCTCTGTGGCTGGGCCTGGTGGGCCAGGGCAGGGTTATAGGGCAGGCAGAGTGTGGGCACAAGGCTGCACTCGCCTGCTCCCACAAGCCACAGTGAGGTTTGCCACTCTGCAGACTTGACCCATTGGCTGGGGTAGAGTTGGGGAGGCCTAGTTTCTGACAGAGGGGCCACAAGGACAGTGCCCCAGACCTCACTGACATCTAGCCTCTCCACAAAATCCTCCCTGACCTGAGACTAAGATGGAGACACTGGGTGCTTTGCATCTTACAACCAGAGTTTGCACCTCTCGTGACAGGGATGTGTGGGCACAAGGGAGGCCCTGACTGCACCCTGCTGTCTAGATGCCGCCGCACCACTTATCTTCCCTACCAGGATCCCATGTGGTGCCCATGTGCAGGGTCCTGCGTCTCCACCTGTGTTCTGCGACGTTCATGCTCCAGAGAGACTGGGCCACCTCACAAATGGCTCACCTTCCATGTGGGTCTCCCGAGGTTTCCTCAGGCTCGCCCTCCGTGTGGGTCTGCTGAGGCTCCCTCAGGCTTAGGCTCAGGTCTGATTGTTTAGCAGGAGCTGCAGGTAGATGCTGTGGCTTTCCTGGTGTAGCCCAGCCAGAGCCATGTGACGTCTGTCTGTCCCAATATTGGGGACACGAGCTCTGACAGCTGGGTTAAGATGAAGCCCCATAGGGTGCTCCCTGAAAAGTTATTATTTCTCTTGGTAATTAAGAAATAATTTGTGGGCCGAGTGTGGTGACTAATGCCTATGATCCTAGGACTTTGGGAAGCTGAAGTGGGAGGATCACTTGAGCCCAGGAGTTTGAGGTTGCTGTGATGACCCCATTGCACTCCAGCCTGGGTGACAGAGCCAGACCCTATCTCAAAAAAATCCCCAAAACTCATGACTGTGGGGAGATGCCGTATGAGCACCTTGTTTCCTACCTGCTTACTGTCCCTGCTTTCAGTGGTGACTGCCCAGTGGCACTGTTGCTGCTGTCAGCTGGCATCACTTTCCTTTGCTTTTTTTTTTGAGACAGAATCTCTCTTTCTTGCTCAGTAGAGTGCCGTGACATCACAGCTTGCAGCATTCAAACTCTAGGGCTTAACTTATTCTTTTGCCTTAGCCTCTCAAGTAGCTAAGACCACAGACGCTTGCCACAATGTCCGGCTATTTTCTTTCTTTTTTTTTTTTTGTAGTTGTCATTGTTGTTTGACAGGCCCAGGCCAGGTTTGAACCCACCAGCCCTGGTGTATGTGGCCAAAACCCTAACCACTGAGCTACAGGTGCCAAGCCCTGACATCCCTTTCCCTTGAGTCTTTGTACAAAGCTTGATGGCACACAATCTTTACATCAATGCCCACATGTGGCCAGTGGGGGCTGGCCCTGCTCTTGGTCCTCAGGTGAGAGCTAGAGGCAGATGCTACATGGGCATCTCTATGGGTCTGGAACAATAGCTGTATTTGCCCTTTACACTGTGGCCCACACCTGGCACCCAGGAGCACCATCTTTCCACCCCATCCTACCTGTGCTGCTTTCCCAGTGGGAAGCCTGGTCTGGCCCCCTTGTCTCCAGGAGTCAGACCTTGTCCAGTGGAGACGGTAGCTGGGCATCTTCCACCCAGGGAGTGACCTTGCACCTTGCCAAGGCCACAGGACAGTCAGGTCACTCAGACCCATAGGGAGCCCAGAGCCCGACTACTGTGTCTTCTAAACATGGACACTAAGGCATGGAGAGCTCTCTGCCTTGGGCCGCTTTAGTTCCTAAAGGCTGTCTGCTGTGGATCGAGAACCTTGATTTTTTTTT